TCTGGACTTCAGTTTATTCAGCTGTAAAATGAGAAGGGTGAGCCAGGCCACCCCCGAGTTCTGTTCTCTCTGTGGTTTTGTTTTTTACATTCACCTCCCCCACATGTGTAGGGTCAATGCTTAGCACACAGTAGGTGCTCACACCACTGATCCTTTGATTAGGTTGCCGCTCAGAAGAAAGGAGACTGGCCAGCCTGTGCCTCCCTGCCCCCAGCCTATGCCCTGGAGCTCCTGACCATCTTCGCCTGGGAGCGGGGCTGCGGGAAGGACGGTTTCCACACAGCCGAGGGCCTGAGGACCGTCCTGGGGCTTGTCCAGCAGCATCAGCATCTCTGTGTCTTCTGGACAGTCAACTACAGCTTTGAGGACCCAGCTCTCCGAAGGCACCTTCTTGGCCAGCTTCGGAAACCCAGGTGCAGACCCGCTACCTCATTTTCTGCATCTTCCCCTCACTCACCCTGGAGTGATTGTATCCAGGAGGGGTCCAGGGTGGGGTTTGGGTGCCCCAACCCCATCCTCGCTCTGCTTCCTTCTGGACTCTTCGCTGAGGACGCAATGAGCCCCGGAGGAAGCCAGGGCCAATTTTATTAACACAATACAATACCACATCTCAAATTAAGGGGCCACCCAGTAGCTTTCAGACCAAGGTGGCCAAGCGGGGACCCTACTGTGCTTGGGTGAGATTGCACCAGCCCTGAGGTGCTGACACTCTTTTCCCCTCTCTCCAGCCCCACACCCCTTTCCCATCTCTCCTACCCCTCGCTCCTTCACCAAGTCTCACCTTCCCCACCAACCTGCCCACCCACTCTGCCCCCAGACCCCTGATCCTGGACCCTGCCGACCCCACCTGGAATGTGGGCCAGGGCAGCTGGGAGCTGTTGGCCCAGGAAGCGGCAGCCTTGGAGACACAGGCCTGCTTTATGAGTAGAGAAGGGAAGCCTGTGCAACCCTGGGATGTGATGGTAAGGGTTGGGCCCTGGAGGGGGCAGGCGCTGCTGGTGCCCCATCCCAGATCCCCTTTCCCTGCTGGTGCCGCATCCCCAGCTGCTAGGAGGGTTGGACGCTGATGGCTTACAGCCAAGGCACAGGTTGTTCCATCCCAGCCAGGGCTTGAGTGACATGCACACAAAAGGAACCCCCTGTTGCAAGGCAGGACCAACTCTATAATGCAATTCATGCTGCAGGGCCCACTCTGGGATTGGGAGAAAGCTTCCTCCAGCTGGGCCTCCCCACCCACTCCTGCTTCCCTCAGTCCTCTTCTTCTGCAAGCACTGTCCCAGCTAAGCACATGCACAAGAATCCCCATCACAGCTCTGCTTCCAGGGAACCCCGCTTACGACGATAGCCATTTGCAGTTCCCCAAAGGATATGAGTGTATCACATTTGGTATTTTGCACCAGAAACTCATAACCAGTGCTTAACATTCAAGACACTCCAGTGAGGCGTGGGCCTCTTTCTTGCCCCCATTTAAAGATGGGGAAACTGAGGCTGTGTGGCGTTGGTAGAAACAGAACTTGAACTCTGGTCCCTCTGATGCTGCGACCTGACCACCAGTTGAGAAGAAAAAGCCATAGGAGAGAATGGGAGTCTTGTTATCACAGGAGACCAAGGGGCAGGGCCTGCGGGTTCACAGGAAATCCCGTCGCGAGCTGGCCCTGCCTGTGTTCTCTCCACAGCCCACACTCCTCTACCAGACCCCAGCCAGGGACCTGGACAAGTTCATCTGTGAATTTCTCCAGCCCAACCGCCAGTTCCTGGCTCAGGTGAACAAGGCTGTGGATACCATCTGCTCGTTCCTGAGGGAAAACTGCTTCCAGAATTCTCCCATCAAAGTGCTCAAGGTGGTCAAGGTGAGTCCCCAGAGAGCTGCGGGCCAAGAGGCTCCTGCAGGCTGGTGATCTCCTGCGGGCCCAGACCAGGCCCGGCCCACTTCTGTGGCCCCTGCAGCAACCAGCACAAGGCCAGACTTAGAGAGAAAGCAGAACTTGGTCAAGGGTGGGTAGCCAAGGGAGGGCCCACATACGCCCAAGAAGTTTCTATCGGCTGCTCCTGACAGCCAACTCAAAAGAAGCAACGAAAGGAGTGTATTGGCTGATGGAAACGGAAGGCCCTGGGATAGCCTGCCTTCAGCCACAGTTGGCTCCAGGAGGATCAGGACTCAGCTTTCCTTCCTAGCTCTTGGCTCTGTCTTCTGTCTCGAATGGGCCCTGTCCATCTGATGGTCCTTGGCATCTCTAAGTTTTTAAAAAGGAATTTTTTCTCAAAATTCAAAGAAGTCTTGGGATTGAGTTTCATTGGCCCGGGGATGTATCCTTTAACCAATGTCACCCAGGGAGACATCGTGTGCTGACTAGCCAAGCCTGGGTTATATGGCAGAGTCAGCCCTGTGAGGACCTCCTGGGTGGAGGGTGGAGGAGGGATGATTCCCCCAAAGGATGTCCAAATGCTGATCCCAGAAGGTGGAAAGGATGCTGGGGGTGGACACGAAGTCACATTATCTGCTGCACCAGATATGACCTGGGTTCACGATTGGAGTCACAGGGAGACACAACACAGTTCAGCTCTGGAAAGAGTGTCAGCATAGAGTCAGCCAGTGACAAGGCTTAGGCCCGGTGACTTGCTGTGTGACCCCCAGCAAATACCTTCCCCTCTCTGATCCTTGCCTTCCTCCTCCATAACACCTGAGGACAGCAGCCTGACTCGCCGATTCTCAACTGTGGCTTCACTTAGGATCCACGAGAAGTCTTTTTTTTTTTTAACCCTCACCTGAAGATATTTTTTCCATTGCTTTTCAGAGAAAGTGGAAGGGAGACAGAGAGAGAGAGAGAGAAACATCAATGTGAGAGAGACCCATCGATCGGCTGCCTCCCGCATGTGCCTCAGCCGGGGCTGGGGATCGAGCCTGCAACCGAGATAAGTGCCCTTGGCCAGAATTGAGCCTGACACCCTTCAGTACGTGGGCCGACACTCTAACCGCTGAGCCGCACCAGCCAGGGTGGGCATCAATCATTTTTAAAAGCGCTCCTGATGCAGACAGGCCTGAGAACCAACCGCAGGCCTAAAACAAAAAAAAAGAAAGAAAAAAGAAAACTCAAATCCCTCCCAGCCCCCAAACGTGATGCAATGAGAAATTTTGCCTTTGTTGAAGGGTTAAAACTTACATCTTGCACGTTTCTTTTTCTTGCAACTATGCCACGTGTTAACCCCACATGAAAGATCTAAGAGAGGTTAGGTGACTTGTCCATGGTCACACAGCAAGTTCCTAACTCAGAGCCCAGAGGCTCTGGCAGTAGGACATCCAGCAGTACTTCGGGGCTCGAGCCACCTGCCGTGTCCTTCCCAGGGTGGCTCCTTGGCGAAAGGAACGGCTCTGCGCGGCCGCTCGGACGCCGACCTGGTGGTGTTCCTCAGCTGCTTCGACCGCTTCACCGATCAAGGGAACAGGCGGGCCGAGATCATCTCGGAGATCCAAGCCCAGCTGGAGGCATGCAAGCGGGAGCGGCAGTTCGAAGTGAAGTTCGAGATCTCCAAGTGGGAGAACCCCCGCGTGCTGAGCTTCTCGCTGCTGTCCCACACGGTGCTGGACCAGGGCGTGGACTTCGACGTGCTGCCGGCCTTTGATGCCCTAGGTGAGAGCCCGGGCATGGTCCTGAGACGGGGAGGGGCAGAGCCAGGGCTGCCGGGGGCGGTCGTGGAGGCCGTGCGCCTCTTCACATCGCAGGCATTGTGTAGTTGTGTGTTTATCACAACTTCCCTGCAGAGAAGAAAAGGACACCTTTTTCTAAGTCATGCAGAGGTGCTACAGGAGCTAACAGTGGCCCTGAGCTGGGTTCTAGTTCCGTCAATCCCCCCAACATGCTGGATGGCCTTGACCAGGGGACTCCCCCACCTTGAGCCCCAGTGTCTTGATCTGATGAGGACGGGTACATCGAAGGGTCTCGGTGCACCTCCCCCACCTGCCACAGACCCATTCGATCAGTCCAATCCCTAAGTGCACCTACTATGTGCCCAGCACACTTCCAGGCACAGAGGAGAAATCCCTGCACAAAACAGACGCAAACCCCTTTGTATCCGTTCAGTTCCGAGTCTGGACCGCAGGGTTTGCACAGTGAGGAGCTCCCCTTCCCCCGTATCTCAGTGCATTTGGTCCCCTCATTTTGCAGAACAAGTAGCTCGGGAGAGATTGATCCAGACATTTCTCTGAATCTGTTCAGTTCCTCGCTTCAGAGAGCGAGAGCTTGGATGTCACAGAATGTTTTCAAGTGCCCTGGGACCAGGGTGGCATCAAGCCTCCCCACATACAATCCTGTCACCTGCCGGGTCTCCCCCTCTGTTAGAGCCGGAGAGAGTCGTTAAAGACATGTTAGTTCTGAGCTGGGACTTTCTGCTGGGGAAGCAGGTGGGTTGAAAGGGGGCTGAAAAGAGAGTCAGATCGTCACCAGGAACTCAGCCCTGGGTCCTGCCACGGCCGTGGCCTCCCAGTGGGTCCCGGGCCACTAGGAGGCCTCAGAAGTCCTTTCCTGGAAATGAGGCGAGGGTGACCGTCTCCCCGTGTGCAGGCCAGCTGGTGTCCGGCTCCAGGCCCCGCTCCCAGGTCTACGCGGACCTCATCCACAGCTACAACAACGCGGGCGAGTACTGCACCTGCTTCACGGAGCTGCAGCGGGACTTCATCGTCTCTCGCCCCACCAAGCTCAAGAGCCTGATCCGCCTGGTGAAGCACTGGTACCAGCAGGTTCGGCCACCCGCCAGCGGCCCTGGCCTCCGCCTCCGGGCTCTCCCCTGGGAGGAGGCGGGCCCAGCCCTGGCCCGGACCCTGGGTCTGTGGAGCAGAAAGAGATTTTCCCCTAGTGGCTGGACCGTAGTTTTCTTACCTGTAAAACAGGGCTGACGGGATAATGCAAGGCAAGGCATCTGGCATAGTAGGTGCTCAGTAAAAGCTTGGGGGCGGGTTTACCGGCTCTGGGAGGGGCCCTCCCAACCTCTTCATTGCCGGCATGGACCAACCCATCACCTTCCTCCTCATTTCTTAGTGCAACAAGATGCCCAAGGGGAAGGGCTCTCTGCCCCCGCAGCACGGGCTGGAGCTGCTGACGGTGTACGCCTGGGAGCAGGCGGGGCAGGACCCCCAGTTCAGCATGGCCGAGGGCTTTCGCACTGTCCTGGAGCTGGTCACCCAGTACCGCCAGCTCTGCATCTACTGGACCGTCAACTACAGCTGTGAGGACAAGACCATCAGAGACTTCCTGAAGATGCAGCTCCAGAAGCCCAGGTTCAGCCTACCCCCAGTGTCCCAGAGTCTCAGATCCAGGGTCGCTCACTCTCTCTCCCCACCTCCTGGGGGCACAGAGCAGAGACAGGGAAATCTGCTTTCTAGAGCTCCTTCCTAGAAGTGATGTCCTGATAGTGGAGGGACATCAGCTTTCTGGTCACCTGTGACTAAGGTTGCAGATAAAATGCAAGGCTCCAGGTTAAATTTGAATTTCAGATAAACAATGAGTAGCTTTTTAGTATGAGAATGACCCATGCAGACCAATGGTGTGGCTCAGCAGCTGAGCACCGGCCCATGAACCAAGAGGTCATGGTTTGATTCCCAGTCAGGACACATGCGGGGTTTCGGGCTCGATCCCCAGTGGGGGGCGTGCAGGAGGCAGCCAATCAATGACTCTCTCATCATTGATGTTTCTATCTCTCTCTCTCTTTCCCTTCCTCTCTCTGAAATCAATAAAAACCTATTTTTAAAAAATTTTTTAAAAAGAATGTCCCATGTAAGCATTGGGATATACTTATGCTTAAAAACCACACACACACAAAAAAATCCCACCTTATTCATTGTTTATCTGAAACTCAGAGTTAACTGGGCATCTTCTATATGTATTTGCTAAGTCTGGCTACCCGGCCTGTACACCCACTAGGTAACATATGTCCCATTCTTTGGGATTTTGCCCACCTCTGAAATGCTACAGAGGTAACTGAGATGCTTCCACAAGTTTGTGATGTATTTGCAGTCAGTGGGTAGTTAGAGTGGTGTGTTGAAAAAGACTCTGAGGTTGTGAATGGGCTCAGCTGAAAAGAGCAGCCTCATCAGTTAATGACCACGGATGCAGGGAGGGGGTGGAACTGGTGCTGCGGTTGATTAACAATGCCTGCTTTACACTCGGGGCAAGCAGGGCCTGGGCTCTGTGACTGATTAGTAATGTCTGCCCTGGATTCATAAGGCCAAAGGGGCCCATGTGTCGCTTATTTCCCATCCTGCCCTAAAGTGTGTGCCTGGAGCCGGCAGGAGTCCCTGGGCCCTGCCTCTGCCCCCTGCAAGTGTTGGATAAGGGGGGAGAATAGCTCCAGCAGTCCCGCAGGTGGATACCTGGATGTTGCCAGGAATAAGACTGACCTTGGATGGGAATTGCAGGCCCATCATCCTGGACCCAGCTGACCCGACAGGCAACCTGGGCCACAATGCCCGCTGGGACCTGCTGGCCAAGGAAGCTGCAGCCTGCATCTCCGCCCTGTGCTGCACGGACAGAGATGGCACCCCCATCCAGCCATGGCCAGTGAGGGTGAGAGACCTGTGGCACAGCAAGGGGGCACCCTTTGTTGGGGGGCATTGTGGTTGGGCAAGGGGCATGAACTCCTCCCAAAGGGGCAGGACTCAGTCATGGCCCAGATGTGCCCCAGCACCTCCATGTCCTGTCTGTCTGTTCATGATGTCTCAGCTTCTACAGGAAGCTTAGGGGTAACCAACATTCTCTAACCTTCCCCAGGCTGCTGTGTGAAACCCAGAGAAGCAGTGGTCAAACCAGATTGACAGATGGATGCCAGCCCTCCACCTGGGGAGACTCAGGGTCACCTGCCAGATGTGTGTGTGTGTGTGTGTGTGTATGAGAGAGAGAGAGAGATTCAGTGAATCCACTCTCCTCCTCAGTCCAGCCTCCCCCACTCATGTCCCTGCCTCCCACTCGGAGTGCTCCTCCCAGCAGCCCACTCTGCTTACCCAGCCCCATTGAAACCCCCTTGTATCTGACAGGCACTACACATCTCAAACACCCCCTGCCTCCCGGAGTCCAGCCTCCATGGGTGGGCACCAGCCTGGGCTTCCAGCTTCTCCTTCCCCCTCATGACTCTCTAGTCTCTGTTGCATCCCGCCCCTGCCGAGAGTGTCCTCCTCTCCCCGACTTCCTCCTGCGCATCCACACCAGCTCACACCCTTCCTCTTGCTGACATCCAGTGGCTTCTCCTTGTTCCTTAATCTAAGAACTTTTCCCGGGGATGGTAGAGTTTCCATCTCATTTGTTGACCATACTCAGTTGGTCCTGGCTGCCTGGACCCCTGTGTTTTGAAGGATTCTGAGGAATGGATACCTAGCTGGGAAGAGGGACCGAATCAATTAGTGATGTCTGCCGTGGATGCCGTAGAGGAGAGTAGCGGCATGAGTGCCGTGATTGATTAGCAACGTCTGGCCTGCACACAGGAAGACGTGCTCAGAGACCTGCAGCACATACATGTCTAGGCTATTGAGAAACTCTCTGAGCTCAGCTGCTAGAAGGACAGCATGCCCGGATTGGCTACTTTTGTCTGCCACAGACACAGAGGAAGAGGGGCCATGCATGCCATTTATTCCCTCTCCCTGGACACTTCATTGGACGCCTTTTCATCGGAGGCCTCCTCTTGTCCACCTTTCCCGTTTCACTCTTCCCCCCGGTTTGCACATCTTAATGCCATGCCTTACTTGCCTTCCTGGATTTTTACCGAATTCCTGTCGTTTCTCCTGCCCTGCTGCAATGCCCCCAGTGGGATCCTACATCCCCAGGACCTAAACGTGAGCCAGTACCCTAGCAACAGTTCCCAGCCTGCTTCTCTCTGCCCCTCAGAGCAAACCCACCAGCTACATGCAGGAGGCACTCCTGACCTCCCGTCCAGTAACAGTGTCCCTCTTAGTCAAGGACCAGCACGGAAAACAGAAAGCGCTCCGAAATTGGATGTAGAAAGGGATTCCATCTAAACCCCTGGACCAGTGGAAGGTGGAAGGAGGCTGGGGCCACCACTGGACTTAGTTTCAACATTTGGCCACCACGGGCAGTGTCTGAGACAGCATTCCCATGAACATCTGTGGGGTGGGTGAGGGTGTGGTCCGTACCAGAGCGGAGGACCAGGACCCAGAGAGGAGGCAGCCTTGTTCTTAGGGGATACATGTGGAAGGACTTACGCATAAAGGAGTCTGGGTGATTATGATGTGTCCATGTAGGTTCATCGATTGTAACAAATGTCCCACCTTGGTGGGGGAGGCTGTGTGTGTGGGGGGGGGAGGTGGGGCAGGGAGTACATAGGAAATCTCTGGGCCTTCTGTTCAATTTTGCTGTGAACCTAAAATACTCTAAAAAATAAAGTATTTTTTAAAATAGAAAAGATCAAAGGGGCATAATATCTGCAACGTGCTCTCAAATGGCTCAGTAATAAGAGTACTGATAAGATATGCATAGAGAGTGAGGGGCAGATGTGAAATATTCTGAGTGATATAAGGGAGTTCTTTGTAGTCATCTTGCAAATTTCCTCAGTATTTCAAATGATTTCAGAATCAAATCTTTCAAAAATAATAAATAAAGCACGGACTTTGGAGTCAGGTATTGTGGAGTTAGAACTTAGCCAGACAATTCACTAGCTGTGTGCCTTTGGGCAAATGTTTCCACCTCTCTGAGCCTCTACGTTTTCACCTAAATAAAGAGACTTATGTCCCCTGCGTAGCTGACCACTAGGTGTTACAGTGAAAGGACCCTTAATGGGCAGGTGGTGTAGTCAAAATTCTACCAAAAACCGGAACCAATAGGATCTATAGATCTAGGTCTAGTGATTTATTTTAAGAAATTGGCTCATGCTGTTGTGGAAGTTGGCAAGTCCCAATTCTGCAGGGCAGGCTGGCAGGAGGAAGACCCAGGGAAGAGCCGATGCAGCTCCAGTCTGAAGGCCATCTGCTGGTGGAATTCCCTGTTCTTCCAGGGAACTCAGTCTATTTTACATAAAGGCCCTCAACTCATTAGGCGAGGCCCACCCATGTGCTAGAGAGTAATCGGCCGTACTCAAAGTCCACCGATCTAAATGTTAATATCATCTTAAAATACCTTCACAGAAGCCCGAGCCGCTTTGGCTCAGCGGTTAGAGCATCAGTGCTAGGACTGAAGGGCCCCGGGTTCGATTTCGGCCAAGGGCAAGTACCTCAGTTGCAGGCTTGATCCCCAGCTCCTGTCGGGGCACGTGCAGGAGGCAACCCATCATTATGTTTCTTCCCCCCTCTTCCACTCTGTCTGAAAAGCAATGAAAAAAATGTCCCCAGAAGAGGATTTAAAAAATAATAATAATAAGTAAAAATGAATTACCTGGAAATCCCTCCAGCATTAGAGCAAAATGGCCCCAAATGACCACCAGGAGGCGCTGTGCTCCCACGCCTATATCATTTCAATAGTGGTTTCTAGAGGGGAAAAAACACTGGAGCCCAGGAGAAAGTTAGAGCTCCTCTCTCCTCCTACCCTCTTTCCCAGATGGACCAGCTCTGCCCAGCATTCCTGGGACATCCCTGTCCCACCCCACTCTGAGCCCTGTTCTTCCTCTGTGTCCCTTCCATCTGTGTTGGAGGCACAGCGGTTCTGGATGTTGTGTGCCCACCTCTCCCAGCTGCCCTGAGCCTCCGGATTGCCCAGGTGCTGGAGAAAAGGGAGAGGTGACAAGGGCTCACTTTGGGCCCCCAGGTTACCCAAAGATGAGGGCAACAGAAATGGGCCACAGACCTCTTACCTCAGGGGCAAGAGTTTTAAGGTCAAGCAGACCTGGGATTTTCCAGCTCTGCCGCTCACTATGCACGTCATAGCCTCCCTGGGCCTCGGTTTCCTCATCTGTAAAATCTGTAATAATACCTTGGAGGATTGAAAGAGCTTAATAAAGCCCCTGAGGCCTAGAAAGCGCTCAGTGAATGGGCTGGTTACCATTCCACGCCCATGTGGGAAGCTGGCCTGGGTCTCCTCCCGTGCCCCCGTGGTTTTCTCCAGCACAGCATCTGCTCTCCACTTTGCACTTTCTCCCAAGAAACATCTCTTGGCCCGGCCGGGCGTGGCTCAGCGGTTGAGCGTCGACCTGGGATCCAGGCGATCGGGGTTCGATTCCCGGTCAGGGCACATGCCCGGGTTGCGGGCTCGATCAATGACTCTCTCATCATTGATGTTTCTGTCTCTCTCTCTCCCTCTCCTTTCCTCTCTCTGAAATCAATAAAGGTATATTTAAAAAAAAAAAAAGAAACATCTCCTGAAGAAACCCACACCATGATCTGGCCACAGGGTCAGCGATTTAACCAGGTAGGACTCCCTGACTTGCAAGAAGTGGAAACCCCGTTAAACCGTCTGGAGGAAACCGGACCCTAAGGGAAAACTGCACAGCCAGTTGCTAGTATCATGGCTGCGAGGATGCAAGACGGAAACACACAGAAGAGAAAATCCTTGGGTTATTTATCTAGGAACGTAATACACATACAAATTAAAAACAACAACACAAAATAGTTCATGATTGAGAGTGTTTGTTCTACTGGGTTCCCTACTGGTGTGTGAGCCGCCTCGCCAGCAGCGTGGGGCTCAGGGAGGCCCAGGTCCTTTCCTCTCCTCGAATCCCTTTGCCGCTGCACCAGGTCCTCGGCCGGATGCCGCTCGTCAGCCGCTGAACAAACAGAGGCCACGTCCTGCTGGAAATGCTGCGAAAGGGCTTGGGGTCCAAATCCCAGCTCTGCCCTTACTCCCTGGGGGACACGGACAAGCCACTTAACCTCTTTCGGCTTCGGGATTTGTTCCGTCTCTAAAACGAGGACAATATTACCTACCTCGTGGAGCAACCGTGAAGAGTAGTGAGTCTTCGGTAAGTGCCTGGCACGTAGCAGGTACTCAACACCTGATGAACACCGTGCAGTGAGCACCAGCCACACCACACAGGATAAATGAGGCACAGCCCCTGATCGCATGGGTGTCTCGCTCCAGCAGGGACAGCGCTGAAGCGGCTCATTGTGATACAGGGTGTCACATGAAGGTGTGGGGCAAGGAGCACAGAGGAAGATGGAATGAGTTCAGGGAAGGCTTCCTGGAGGAGGTGACATTTAGCCCTTAAATGGCATTATACAGTCTGGTGTCTTGGGTTCTTCTTTGCAACTCACTGCTGAAGTTCCCCGTGACCTCGAGCTAGGCTTTTCCCCACCCTGGGATCCCCAGGTCCCTTCTGTAACATAAGGTTGAGCATTGGCTCTGAATATTTTGGGTCTCAACCTCTTTTAAGAAGAATCTCTGAAAGCCAGAGCCCTTCTTCCTGGAAAAATGCAGACACGTTTGTGTGTAATGGGGGAGGGGCCCTTCATGGACCCCTGGAAACCCATCGTTGGTCCCTAGGCTAAGATCCCGGAGCTCAGTGATCCTGTGGGAGCGTTGTCACCGCAGAGCTGACCCTGCCCTCAGACAGAACCGCTGGGCAGGCACAAGCAAGCAGAATCGGTGACCCAATCTGGAAAAGCCCATCAGGCGCCGGGCTGCAGGACAGAGCAGGGGCCTGGGGAGGGGAGGTCACTCCAGCTGGCTGGGGACCCAGAGTTCAGTTCTGGGAAAGCGCCCCTCAGCAGCCTGCCCATGACCTCCACTAGTTTATCATCATCTGCCCTGGGGAGGAAGGGGAGCGTGGGCCGCCCCGGGCAGGCTCCCAAACAGGCCGCTGACCCCCATCTGCTGCCCAGACTGGAGTTCCCGGATGCATCCTTCATCTTTCCTAATCTAAACTCCCGCAGGCCCCGGGGGGCCGCCCCTCCCAGCTGACGTGTGTCCTCAGCTGCATCCAGCTTGCCAGAGGGAGCGCTGGCCGTCCCATTAACACTTGAGCCCCTTCCATCCAGCCAACCTGCACCCAGCATTTATTGAGCACCTATTGTCTGCAAGCATCTGTGAATGAGGTGAGGGAGGGCTTGCACTTACCTTCCCCAAAGGTCTCTGCCTCCCGGCCTAGGTCCCCCACCCCCAGACAGGATGCTGTTGCTATGCCACTCACCTGGGGCAGGTGGGGGTTTGGGGGAATCTGGCTCTGGGAGGAGACTCTGCTCTGGGTTAGTGTCTGGTCTGGGCACCGCTCTCAGCTGCTGTGTGATCCGGGGCCTGTTTCTTACCCTCTCTGGGCCTCAGTCTCCTTATATGTACCCTTCAGATTCCAGGATTCCACTGGGCTCTGAAATGGGCCTTGTCAGCCCCCCTCCCCCAGAATAGTTGAAGGAGGAAAGACGGCTCCCCTAGAGTGGTTTAAGATCTTTCTTTAGACAACCTCTGGATCTTATTCAGTCACTCAAGCATTTATTGAGCACCTCGTGTGTGCCAGGCCCCGGACTGGGCAACGGAAATGTAAAGGCGCCCAAGATTCCAGCAGGCGACCCACTGACACCTCGCCCCACGCTCTGCGCCCTGCTTGGGGTAAGGAGGCCTCCTGGGACCCCAGGTGGGCCTAGCGGAGGACCTGGGGCGCCCCGGCGACTCGCGTGGCGGTGCGGGCGGCCCTTACGGCTGCGGTCTGTCTCCTCCCCTTCCTCCTCCGACCCTCC